AACTTTACGACTATTATTAGAACTGACTTTTTTGAGCTTCTGCAAACCTCAGAAATGAAATAGTTTTGAGTTCACCTATAATTTTAACTGTGATGACTCACGATTCATGTACCCTCTATCTTGTTAGAAGAAAATGTAAATAGTTCTGTTAAGAGATCATTTTTGAGTGTTTGCTAAAGTTTGTAAAATGTAAATAGTCCTATAGAGCGTTTGCTTTTGAATGTAAGTTTCTAAGAATTGTAAATATGTATAGTACTATTCATGCTAGAATTATGTTAACCTGTTGATATTGATGAACCATGCTTTGGTGAAGCTAAGGGAGTCTTTAGGATTGATACAGTTGCATCAGGAGTTTATTGATTTATTCAATGTGTTTGCATTAAGAGTTTATTGATTTAAAAAGGGCTTGGTGCAACTAAGGCTGTTTATACATCTTAGACCCATTTAAAAAGGACATTCCATCTTGGTCATCCTCTATTCCTTTAGTGGGGTATGTGACAGCCATAGGGATGTGGTTGTTACAGCTATTTGCGAGCTCTTAGTAGGGACCCGAGTCAGAGCTAAGTTAAGCTCTGTACTTTCCCCTGCCAGAGGCTGGTAGTCAGAGATGGGTAAAGTCCTTCTTGCTAGCTGCCAACCTAAGACAGAGTATGCTTAATGGAAAGTGTATCTCCATGATGGCTAAGGCTGATTAGTGAAGAAAGATGACCTAAGGCAGGCACAGTCTATCTGAGGGGTCTTAGGGACCCTTTAAAATATTAAAAAGTGGGAGATGTAGAGACCCACAGAGGTTTCCTAGTGAGAACTTACTCTGGGTCTGAAAATCTGAGCCTGCTTTACCCAGCAGAGCTGCAGAAGGGGATGATTTGACCACAGGCATGGTTATCAGGTATTTGGAAGGGCATACACTTGGCTGAGTGGTGTGCTTTGATCTACCAAGGGGGAGGGGTTTTGTCCCACCCCTTGGCATTATTATAAAAAGCCTTTTTGAAGAGGCAGAAGGGGGTGTTGGGTTTTGATCCAGGTCCTCCTGAAGCTATCCTGTGTTTCTGTCTTCTCTTTGCTATCTTTCTATTTATCTTATCCCTCTCTCCTCCTCATAGGAACCCTTTAATAGGTGGAAGCAGGCCTCCCACACATGTCCTGCTTCCTCTGAGTCTGGTTGGCAAGTCTTCATTCTGCCCTTCTCCTTCCCAGCATCCTCCTAGTCTGGCTCTCCCATCCAATTTATTTCTGCCCAGCTATCAGCCAGTCAGTTTTTTTTATTAACTCTTGAGAGTAATACATATTCAGTGTACAGAAGGATTATTCCACAGCAAGATAGAATACCTTCTACCCCAGTTCCCACTCAAACACTCATGATTCACAGAGCATTGAATGGTTTTCATCAGATTGCCAACCATAGCCATAGTTGAGCTCCTGCCTCTTTACCTGACTGGCTGGAGCTGCCTCTACCTTCTTCTGGGCAGTAGCAGTCTTTCAAAGTCTGTGTTTCTTAGTTGTAGGAGATGCACAGTACAAGGGTTTGGAACAGTGTGGGGGAGATCCTAGCAACCTGGAAGCTCCCAAACACTGAAACCCTGGATGCTTGCCTATATACCACACATCTGAATCTTTGTAAGGTTTATCTCTTTTTAAAATATTTATTTATTTATTTATTATGTATACAGTATTCTGCCTTCTTGTGTGCTTTCAGAACAGAAGAGGACATCAGATCTCATTATAGATGGTTGTGAGCCACCATGTGGGTGCTGGAAATTAAACAAAGGACCTCCGGAAGAACAGCCAGTGCTCTCAACCTATGAGCCCAAGGTTTATCTCTTAACACCTGGAATACCTGTAACTTAGCAAGGTACTCAAAATATACAGAATTCTTGCTCATCAGATTCAAAGAAAACAAGGCTACCATACAGAGGACTGTAATAATCTGGCAGAATACAGCCAGGCTCTGTGTGTGTGTGTGTGTGTGTGTGTGTGTGTGTGTGTGTGTGTGTGTGTGTATGTGTGTGTTTGAGACAGGGTCCCCCTATTATGTAGCTCTGAATATGCCAGGATTTGCTATGTAGACCAGGCTGACTTGACCTCACAGGGATCTACCTGCTTCTTCCTCCAGGGTGTTGGAATTAAAGGCATGCACTTTTAGGCCTTGTAGACAGGCTGTATTTCAACAGAAATCAGGAGAATTCACTTTGCACTAAGGTAGGACTATACATGTACAATGTTGTCCAATCCATGCAGCAGTCAATTCACTTTAACCTAAAACTTTCTGGTAGATTTTACATATTAATAGCTGCATATCCATTACCAGGGGCTATAATAAAGATACATGTCTGGAGAGATGGCTTAGAAGTTGAGAACACTGAATGATCTACAAGGGACCAGGTTTGATGCTTAGCACCCACACAACGACATAGCAGTTCATAGCTACTTCCAATGCAGTTCTAGAATCCAACACCCTCATTTGGCTTCCTCAGGCACCAGGCACAAATGTGGTGCACAGGCATATACAAAGGCAAAACATCCACACATACAAAGCAAACAAATGTCAATAACATCTGATACAGCTACAATCAGGGCTTCTCCTTGTTGGTTAGCTTTTGCAGACTGTGGACTGCAGAACAGAATGGAGTTGCAGCAGGGATAATAAATACTATTTCCTTCCCGTATTTGCAAGCAGCACTACATTCCCTGGACTATGCTGGGATACTGCTTTCCACAGTTTGTCCCCTGATGAACTTCAGTGACCACCATACCTTCTGCTTCGTCTTTTGGAGACAATCTCTGGCATTTCATAGTTGAAGAAGCCATCTCAACTAACTGCTGTATCTATCCTGACCATACGTCTAGGAACCAGGGAAATGGTTGCTGGGTGGCTCTGGAGATCTGGTGGACTCATTGTGACAGGGACATTACCTGACCTCTTCATAGCCTCCTCTCTCAGGAGATAGTGAGGGAGCCTTGGGTTCCCAAATATCAGCATCAGCTCAGATGCTGTGCCCAACATCCTCTGAAAGAGCCATACGTTCCTTTCCCTGGCAGGAAACAATGTGAACAGATGTCCTGAGATTCCTTTGAGGGAAGAACTGTGAGCCACTGTATATACACGTGCAAGGTTCCTTCTATTGAGAAAACAGGTCTCATTCATTTGATGGGCTCTGAGACCGATTTAGAACTGTCTGAAGTTGGAAACTGTGGGAAGGATCTAGACTTTACATTGGGATAGTGGACTTGCACCATGTGCCCATCTGTTTCCCCCTCTTTGATGATATATATGAAAAGTAGCCTACAGGCTGCCCCACTGTCCTGACTGTAGGAATATCCTATCCTATTAGCTGTCTCCACAGACACCTACAGAGAGGGTCTCCAGCTGTCTCTCTAAGGAAATTACTTTATCTGATTCCAACAGCTATGCACTTCCACCTGGTCTGTTATTCTGGGACCTAATGTTTCCTTTGCTACTGTGGAAGTCAGGGCTGTTACATGGCCCTACCATTATTCCATTCTACAGACAGCAGCACTGATGGGCTGCTACATGATGCTCAGGGCCACAGCACTGTGTTTCTGGTCACCTCATGAAGTTCATGCCTCTGAGTGGCCCTGAGAAGCACAGTCATTTCTAGTACTAGAGAGTGAAGCTATCTCACTATTACAATTAGGTTTGTACCCCTTAGTCTGCTGTCATGGTTCCAGTCGCTTACTTCCACTTCATTAATATGCTCTAAAGCTATGCTGAACCTGCAGGGGCCACCAGGAGACAGCCTAGAATCACTACCCTTGGCCATCACCAGGTTGATTAGGTTGTACAGCACAGAGGAACATTTAAGTATTAATAACTCTGTTTGACAGTTTAGTATTTCAGCTTTCTTTATTTGGTCCACCCCAAACACAACCTTCTTGCTGAGCTTGCCATTCCTTTGGTGGGTAGCCCCTCCCTCACATCTTCCAGCCCCACCCAGGGCTTGTCCACTTGAGCCATCCTGGAAGGCCTCACATAGTCTCCATTCAAGCAAGACAGGGGAGAGGAGTGCCTCTTCCTTCCAAGACACAGCAAAGGGATTCTTCCTTAGGCAAGTAGGTTCAGGGGAAACAAGTTCAAAGGCCCCATGCATACCTGTTTCAATGCCCCTGTCAGGACCCTGAATTTGGCAAGAGACTTCCTGAACTTAGAATCCAGCCTTTGCTGGAGTTCTGTCTTTCTGACTGTAAGGACCTGGAACATGCCTTTGCTGCTGTCTGAAAATACAGCTGCAGGATTGGGTGTCTCTTTCCTTACACTCGGGATTCTGCAGCTAAGCCTGCCAGCAACTTCTGTCAACCTATTAGCACAAAGTACCAACAGCCAGCAAATCCCAGCATTCTTAGAGTTGCCTTGTTTCCATCCACTAGCGAATATGCCACTTTGCCTGTAGCTCACACAGTTGTTAGTGCCTTTCTACAGGCTAAAATTGGGTCCGTGTGCTGGTATAGCACCTGAGGGCCTATTGATATCCCACCAATCACCTTTTGGTTGGACAGTGACCCAACTCTAGAATCCCACCCTGAGGCCTTGTTTCTAGGACCATCATCTTGTAGGACCATTCATCTTGTAGGAGCATCATCTTCTAGGACTATCATCTAGGATGAGTCTCCTAGAGAAAGATCCAGAGATGGGGCCTTTTTATGAGTCTTGTTTGGTGAGTTGTTTGCTCTTGAATCAGGTTCTTACTTTAAAACCCAGAGTAGCTTAAACTCACTATATAGCCCAGGCTGGCATCACACTTGCAGCTGTCCTCCTGCCTCAGCCTTCCAAGGGCTGGGATTACAGGAGTGTGTCACCATGTGAGTTGGAGTCTTAGAAGCTTGTAGTTTATTATAAAGTGCTCTCAGGAGTAGGGACAAGGGAAACAAAATGTGTGTGTGTGTGTGTGTGTGTGTGTGTGTGTGTGTGTGTGTGTGTGTGAGAGAGAGAGAGAGAGAGAGAGAGAGAGAGAGAGAGAGAGAGAGAGAGAGAGAGCTAAATCAGTTGGACTTGGGGAGCAGAGAACAGCAATTTATTACACCCTTGGTTCCAGCTGGAGGCAGGGGATGGACCTCAAGGCCAGGAGGTGTGACTCCCAGCTGCAGCTGTCTGCATGTGACCCAGAGAATCCTCTGTGGATGATGGAGTCGGTAGAGAGCACTCACTGCTGTGTGTGGGAAGACCTGGCCAGAAAAGGACAAGGTGCCAGGACACCAGCAGCATCCGGGACATCAGTCAACTGTTTTCATTTGTGTCCTGAATAGCAAACACTTCCTTGAAAGTCTTCTCAAACTCAGACTCCAGTCCAAGTCCCATTTGGCCAAAGTTAAGGTCCTAGAAAACAAATATCAAAAGCAGGAATGATGGTGATCATTATCAGTGAGAGAAACATCTCCTCCTTGTCAGCACTTCTGCCCTCTGATGGAATCTGTGCATCCCTGGTCCAATCACAAGTAAGGAAACTTAGACTTTGGTATTTCTGAGAATCGTGCCTGTTTAAGGTAAGAAGCAGAAACTTCTCAGCTGGGAGATGACTCAGTGGGTCAATGTTTGTCACACAAGTGTGAGGACCTGAGTTCAGGTCCCCAAACCCATGCAAAGCTGCACATGGTAGCACACATCTGTAATCCCAGCACTCCACGGTGGTGACCAACAGTTTGCCTTGTCTCAAAAAAGGTGAAATGTGAAGAACACCCATGGTTGCCCTCTAACTTGATCCTCATGTGTACTATGACACACATGCTTCTGCATCCACATGAACATGCACACACTTATGTATACTATGGCATACAGGTATTTGCATTCACACATGAACATAAGCACACTCATCTGTCTATGACACACATGCTTCTTAATTCACACATGAACATTCACACATTCAAGTATACATACATACACACAAATATTTAAGCTAGGAGCTGGAGAGATGGCTCAGTGGTTAAGAGTATGTACTGTTCTTGCAGAAGACCCAAGTTCAATTCCCAGCATTCATGGCAAGTAGCTGTAACATCAGCTTTGGGGGAATCTAACGCCTTTGGCCTCTACAGGCACCTATAGTCACAAGTACATACCCTGTGCCTTTACACACACACACACACACACACACACACACACACACACACACACACACTTTTTTTTTTCTAGATAGGATTTTGCCATGTAGTACTTCCTGACACTTGTTCTGTAGACCAGGATGGTCTCAGATTCCAAGATCTGCCTTTCTCTGTGTGCTAGGATTAAAATACTGTGCTACCATGCCCAGATTAAACATAGACATATTATAAAAATTAATTAATAGAAATAAATTCTCATGTGTGTTTAGAAAGGATGGCTTAACTTTCCGCTGCATGCTCTGTAGACAGGGAATGAAATGAGCTATGAGCTCTGTGATGCTGAGGACCTTTATCATGTCTAGACACTTGATAGATCTTAAACTGAAAAGCAAAGCAAAACAAAAGACCTCTCTTCCAGGATTCTGGTTTTTGTTTTTGTTTTTGTTTTTGTTTTTGTTTTTGGTTGTTTGTATGTTTGTTTGAGATAGGGTCTAATACTGTAGAAAAGGAAGGATGTGAACACAAAACAGTCCTCCTACCTCAGCCTTTTGAGGGCTGTGATCACAGGCATGCACCACTGGGTCTGGCATCTCAGACTTCTTGCTTATGCAACTTTAATAAAGGAAGATGTGGGAACTAGAGTTTCCACATACTAGAAACTGAGGGAGGAGTAACCCGGTGGAAAGAAGATGAGATGCAGGCAGAGAGGAATGCTGACCTTGAACGTGGTCCTGTGATTGTGGAAGATGAGCCTCATGTCTTGCACAAACTCTTCCACGTGAGAGTAACCTCTCTTTCTCAGCTTTTTCTTGATGATGTCCAACCACATAGCTTTCTGCACACCCTCAGATGTTTCCCTAAACTGGAGACAGAAACAGCAATGGGAGAGGGACTGGTATGGCTCAGCATTTACCTTCCACAGGGCCACAGAAAGTCCACAGAAACAACAGAGCCTGTGGACCTGGGGGATTGTGAACCCAATCTCACATGTGCCCCTCTAAGGCACACGACATCATGGCAGCCAGTAATGGGGGGTTCAACCACCAATACTTACATAACAATAATATGGCATCTTGGAAAAAAAGGAGCTCTCAGAACAGCAATAGACTTTCAAGAGGACAAACTCACACTTCTGCAAGAAAAGGAGACTCAATCAAAGTGACTTATTAAGACAGAGTCCATACACATGCCTAGGAGGAAGGCATCACTCAAATCCACATTCTGGAAGTTTCTCCAACATTAGTGTATCTTGGTTACAGACTTAGAATGACTGAGTTAGTTCTTATGCCAATGGTTTATGCTGTGGTAGCAGCATGATGGAGTGTGTCTTGGAGGAGCAGGCTCCCTTTGGTGCTATTCTTCTGACTACAAACCTGTTTGTGCTCTTCCAGGAGAAAGGAGAAAGTGTGGGGTTCACAGGGACTCACCAACTGTTCCTGGGGCACCATGCGTCTCTGCAGTACCTCAGATTCTGGATGACTCTGTTGGCTTCCTAAGGACTGCATCCTACAGAAGATGCAGCTCCATGGTGTTCTGAAAGGTTGAATGCGAAGTGAGCAGCAGACAAGCCTTGAAAGCAGCCACAGTTCTATGCCTGCCACTGTGCTTTCAGAAATGGCTGACAGTCATATCTGGGGGAGAGGTTCCCAGGCTTTGAGGAACCCCTTGTGGGATCTTAAGCTGCCAGTGCTCCCATCAGGGCTGTGGCAGGAGCCAGACCTTGGGAAATTTGGGACTTATGGTGTGCAGGGATCTACATTTTCTAACAGAGGTTTCTGGGAGCACAGAGAGGCCAGGCTATCAGGTCTGTACACAGTAAAATGGATTCCACAAAATCTGGAAACCTTGGACCTCAATTGGTCCACGACAACCTGGTGAAATGTAGGAAAGAGTCATGTTTCCTTCTTTCATGAATAAGTACAAAAGAGAAAAACTTGGCATATTCCACTCTTAATCTTTTTGACAAGAAGTTCTGGTAAACAACTTTGAAGAAAAGTCAGTAGCAATGCATAGGCAAATGGCCCAGGCTTTGTTTGTATCAAGAGAGAAGCCTCCCCTAACCCAGAGATCATTAAGCCCTTGCTGACAGCATCTTCCTGTTTGGTGTCTATTATGAAGAGCTCTTGCTCTTCCCCCATCAAGACACAAACTCACAATCTACAAGAGTTATGTCTACGACAAGGAAAAGGTGTCTAAGAGGAGACAGAGAAGGGACCACATCTCACTCACATCTCAGCCTCCACCGTTGGGATGTGACACTCCTCATGGAAGGCTCTGGAGCAAGTATCACAGCAGAAGAGCATCCCTCCATCCCGGCACACCTCACACTCATCTGAGTTCTGCATTTAGGGAGAAGAACATCTGTATCACTGGGATTGAGACCCACAGAGCCACCACTGTGGCAATCCTCAACCTGGGATCTTGTATGAATCTGCAAGGACATGGATGCATCTTCCTGGGACAATAAGGAACGTCATGGAATGTAAAATGTGTAACAAGACTTTCTGCTCTTCAGTGAAGTTTGAGAGAAGGGGGCCATGAACCAGTCCCAAAACAATCTTCCTTGTCAACAAAAGATCCTGACAGAAAGACTAGCAAGAAAACACTATTTTACACAATCTGACTACTTTTCCTATGATGTAGATAAAATGAATTTCTGGCCGGGGTTGGTGGCACACGCCTTTAATCCCAGCACTCTGGAGGCAGAGGCAGGCGGATCTCTGTGAGTTCGAGGCCAGTCTGGTCTACGGCGCGAGATCCAGGAAAGGCGCAAAGCTACACAGAGAAACCCTGTCTCGAAAAACCAAAAAAAAAAAAAAATTAATTTCTGAAGTAAATATTAAGTCCATTTGCCTACGTAGCAATGATGATATTGACTCATCAAGAGATGATAATACTAGGAATTTAATTTGATGGGATAAACTAAGAGAATACCATATTCTGTAATGGAGCTATGAACAAGCCTTTGAAGAAAGAGTCTGCAGAGAGATTTTAGACAGTGAGTTCTGTACCTAAAGACCCTGTGGTGGGGCCTCTGAGAAGACAGGGTATGAGTACAGATGACCAGCCAAGTGGGTACAAAGAAGGAAAGGACTCTGTGGCTTTTGGAATCTTGTAGAAGATTCCACATGACCAAAGAAAATGGGCATGTGAGGTATGGAGTCACCACCACTTAAAGATGAGGACTGTAGTCATGACAACCATTCAGGGATGGAGACTGGGATGGTTTTAATTGTAAACTTGATATAATCTAGAATCACCTGAGAAAAGAACTTCTGAGAATGTCTATTAGAGATCACGTTAATTTCAGTTAGACCCGCCCACAGTGGGTTCCTGGAGTGTGTGAGCGGAGAAAGTGCAGTGATCATGAACACACACAGGTTAGCTCATTGCTCTATGCTCTTGATGGTGGATGTGATGTGACCCATGTTCCATGTTCCTACCACCTCGACTCCCCTGCAAGGATGGACTGGAACCTAGATCTATGAGTCAGTTAAGCCCATCCTCTCTTAAGCTGCCTTTGCCAGGGTATTTTATCACAGTCACAGGAAAGGGAATTGAGACAGAGACCAAAGCTCTGCCATCATTTTCTGGGAGCAGAAAAGAGAACTATGTTGTATGAAAGAGAAAAATCCCCGCAAGTCAACAGAGATTGGACTTCTTGCCAGGCCTAACACGGAGTGACTGTAGTCAGTCAGATTCAGTTTTCATCTAGAGAAGGTCAATTGACAGTGTGTGTGCCTTGTTGCTATAGAGGAAGGTCTGTTTATTCAAATCTATAGGCTGTACAGAGCAATGAAGAAGAGACCAGTAGATACCCGCTGTATGGTACTCAAATCCATGTGTGCTCAAGGTGCAGAAGTGGCCTATGACTGACCGCTGCTCTGTGGGAAGAGTGGCATAACACCAAAATTAAGGCTCATTGTTATATCCTGCCCGGATATCTAGAAAAGTTGGAAGGCTTAAGTGGGGTGCTCAGATTAAGGCACCCCACTTAGGAGATTAAGGCAGAAAAACTATGAGTTTGAAGACAGTTTGAAACCTCTGTACAAAAACAAACAACTGAGGCCTAAAATGGTCTCTGAGTTCTCTGTACCACTCTACTCCTGCAAGTGAAGCCCCCTGGCTAACAACCTCTATCATCCTTGACTGGCATGTTTCAGTTTCTGTACCCCACCAGAGAACTATTCTAACTGGTACCTCACAACCTCCCTCGGGATGTTGTGGAGGTTCCTATGATTAGTGTTAATACAGGAACCAGAAAGTATCTGAGTGACATGTGGACAGGAACACATGCATTCCTGGTGTCACTTTCAGAAAGAACAGTGACAGTTGGAGAACTGGATGGTGGCTCTATACCCATATAGAAAACTCCCAAGTCAGACGTGGTGGAACATTTCCAGGAACCTCAGCAGTGGAAAGTCGAGACAGGAGGATCAGGAGTTCAAGGCCATCCTTGGCTACATAGTGACTTTGAGGTCAATTTGATCTACATGAGACCCTGTCTCAAAAACATCATGGAAGGAAGAGAGGGAGGGAAAGTGGAAGGGATGGTGTGAAAGGAAAACTCCTATGTAGTCCTTGGGCTTTTGGGAAAATTCTTTCTTGTGACCATCTGAGGGCCAAACATGGCACAGGCCTGAGGACTGGTCCACCACTGAGTGAGTGGTGGGAAGAAGGGAAGTAGGCAAGGTGACAGGGTCAATCACTCTGTGCCCTGTGCCATCTCTGCCTTCAGGAGAAGCCTGGCCTGTGGCATCATTCTTGGTGGTTTTGCTCTATCACCTCAACTGCTGGACCACTTTCCTTCCTGAATCCTTCTCCTCAGCCTCACAAAGGATGGAATTCCTCAGGTTTCCATCCTTGGCCACAGTCTGCCCATATGATCAGAGTCATTCCCCAGCTGCAGGTTTCCCCTTGTGTCCTCAGCTTCAGGGCGTCTCATCTCTCCTCTGCAGCCCTACATGTCCTAATGCTCAGCGATGTCTCCTCTAGGGCTCCCTAGGTGCCCCTCACACTCATCCTGTTAAACTACAGTGCATCTTCCTCCTGCACCGTGCTCTTTCGTTGTAGCTTCCATTTTATATAACGTGCTCCATGCACCACAAACCCAGGAGTCCATCTTGCTTCTATGCTCTCTTTCATTTCCCAAATCCATCTAACTCTTTGTCCTCTGAACACTAATTATTAAGCTTATTTAAAATTTTTCTTTGTTCTAACAAGATCTACCAAATACAGGGATACAGGGTGCAGAGGATGGACAGGGCCTTAAGTATTAGGATGGTTTGCTTATGCCTGCACATCAGCCAAGCAGACCCAGGGCATACACCCTGTGATTTGCTCAGTGGTGATAGCTTGGGTCCTAACCAGATGGACCCCTGATGGCTCCCTTCAGACTGGGCCCAGTGAGTTCATGAGGACCTGCTTACTCTGCAGGCAACTTTCTGTAGGACGAGGAGAGGTCCAGACCTAGATTTACGCATGAAGCCTGGCCTGCTCCTCCTGAGTTCAGCTTGCACCTGGGATGCATGCTGGGGTGTTGTTATTTTTCCACACACTGCTTTTTACAGATGTTGTCTCCTCTCATATTTGCTCCTCACCCTTCATCCACAGCCAGCCATGTCCACTGCCACACCAGGCTCTGTCCCAGGGACCCCGGACATCTAGAGCTCTGTCTCACCCTCACCTTCAGGGAGAATGAGGACATGAGAACACACGGGGACACACATGGTAGGTGCTTCTGGCCCAGACACCCAGACTGGCCCCTCCTCCAGGGTTGGTGACAGATCTGGTAATGGTGGCTCATCACCCAAGGTGGCAGTGAGCCCCTTCAGGGCGGAGGCAACCATGGCACAGACAGTGCACCCAGGGGAAGAACGGGCTTTTCTGGGGTTAGATGTAGGAGTTGCTACTTATACAAAGGTCAGCTAGGGAACTGCACATATTTTGTGTTCTCTGTTGAAACAGGAAATTTGAGTGACAGTATTAAATATAAAACTTGATTTGGTATTTATTTAAGGAGTCAAATGATAGTTGTTTAAATTTGTTTTTTCATCACCAGCATTTATCTTATTTTTGAGATATGTCTTACTTTAGGCCAGGCTGGCCTAGGAATCACTATATAGCCAAGGTTGGACTTGAACTCCTGAGCCTTGTGCTTTCTACATTCCGTGTGCTGGGATTCCAGCCGTGTGCCATCTTGCCTAGATAAAATTTAATTATTGTGAGGCTTGTGGGTAGGAACATCTCAAGTGCTTGGCGTTCACACCCACACAAATTAGAGGCTAATGCAAAGGCAAAATCAAAGGAGACATTTTAGGCATATAAAGGCCACCTCCTAATCTCTCACTAAGGACTTTCTATCCTGATCAATCAAATGCTTTTCTCAGTCTCACTTTCACCTCAGTGTGTCGAACCACAGCCTTGTACACCTACGGGGGTTCCCAAAATCCACTGACAGAGGACACTCCCTCTTGAATTCTTTGATTGCTAAAGTGTCTCTCCTAGAATACCCTTTTCCCCATACCGACTTTTACGGACCTATGCATTCACTAGGAGAAACAGAGGTGTCATCAAACTATTATTTGTGCCATAACAAGTTTCTCTCACTGGCTTTAGTTTCCAAGGAGTCTTGGTGAACTTATACAGGGAGGCAGGCCGAGTTTTCTAAAGACTAGCTTGAACAATTCTACCAGTCCTAGAACATTTAAGGCTCTCAGTCATTTTCTTTAAATTTGGCCACCCAGGATATATCAACTGTGACCATGAATACCCCACTGCAGAGTAGCTGAAGTGAGACCAAGGCTTCAGGTGGACCAATCACATTTGAGAACCCATAAGGCTCAGAGTCCTGGAGTCTAAGTGATTTCCTAGAGAGGAAATCCATCCCCTTCTGTAGCTCTCCCGGAAAATAAATGAACTCAAGGAACCTAGGGATGCAGCTCTTCCTCCTGGTGGCCTCCCTCCTCTCTACTCAAAACTCAAAAGGTTGCCATGCAGGGTGCAATGTTAAGAGGCAACACTGGACTTCACATTGCTTTTGCAAAGCCATTGGAATGATTTGTCACTCTTCCTTCTGTGACCCAGGCATTCTCAGCTCTTAACCCCAGTCCAGGGCCGAGAGCTGGAGAGAAGCATGATCTGGTACACAATCACCCGAGGGGGGTGTCACTGTCCACTGTTTTAGAATCTCCCACTACACACTATTTGTTATTCTTTAATGTAAACAGTGACTTTGACACAATCCTTGAGGTCCCTCAGGGCTATTGATTCATTCATCTCTACAGTCCTTGGATGTTCTGAGGATACTTGGTAAAGGTGCAATATACAGATGAGTAAATATGGCTTTGCTTGGGAAAAGAGAATCCAGGTATCTCAAGGCAGATGTCAGAATACAGAACTAATGGTTCTGGTGACCATACCAGAGGATCTGACACACACCAGTTATCACCAGAAAGCTTAAATGGTCCTGCATGGGCTGGGAAGCTGTCATGTGAAGTGACACAGAAGCTCCCAGAATCCATGGCTCTGAACAGATGAAGAGGCCCTGAGAGATTTAGGAAAGTGGAAATGGATCTTGGCTTCTCTTTCTCTGGGAACTCTGTTCTTGCAAATAGAGACTCAAAATAAGAGAGAGAGAAGTGCCCCTTGTTGCTATGGAGCATTGCACCCAGGAAGAAGGATGGTTGCCTGGACTGGACATTTCTAGCTCATTTGAGTGATCCAGGAAGAGGTACTCTTAGCATTTGGGGGAAGGTAGAGGCAATGGGCTTTAAAGTATCCATTGACCAGGTTACATGGTAGCTTCCTTCTAGGAAACTGAGTGGATGAAACATCCCAGTGGTTCAGAGTTCAAACCAGCCAGGCAATAATGCAAATGACAAATAATACACAGGTCTGAAGTTCAAAACCTCAGTGAGCCGTGAAGCTCAGTGTCCAGTGATATGTGACCATTGAAGTCTATGTTGGTGGCTCTTTATCATCTCCAGCTCAAAGGGGTCAACACTGAAGGAAGACCAGCCTTACACACAGTACAGTAGCATGAGTAAAGACACAGGCTGAAAACAAGAAAAGAAAAAAGTAGAGGAAGGAGTGAGAGGTACTTTAAGTATGACAACCCAACTGAGACATCATAATATAAGAAGCTTTGTGTGTAAAATCACATGAGAACTTACCTTTTTTTTCCTGCCATATATTCGTGGAGGATTGGGTAGAAAGTTTCCCTGCAAGAGAGAAGAACACCAGTATGTAGTTGTCTGTATTTCAGTGGTGTGAGTCTGGGGTTTCCAACCTCCTTGCAGAAGTTCTGCTTGGATCTTCTATGGACTATTCAGATCCAAGTTGTCTGACCCCATTTCCCTCTCATCACTTACAACTTAGAGACTCTGGCCTGTGGCAGCTGGAAATACCTCCTGACATCCCTTTTCCTGAGAATTTTCCCTCATTACCACTGACTCAACCATTACATGTTCTCTGCTCCCACCTGACACATTCAGCTTGAATTCCATATCAGGACTAGCCAGTCAGCACACACTTGCTGCATGCATCTAGGGTGTCACATACTCTGATGAATGTGAAGCACACAAAGACAGAAACCCTGGTTTGGTGGGATAGAGGAGAAAACTCATGTGAGGAACATATTCTATCTGTCTGTGTGTGTGTGTGTGTGTGTGTGTGTGTGTGTGTGTGTGTGTGTGTGTGTGGGCATGGGCGTGCGTGTGTGCGTGCGTGCGTGTGTGTGTGTGTATGTATGTATGTATGTGTGTGTGTGTGTAACCCTGGCCATCCTATTTGCACTGTAGACCAGGCTGGCCTCGAACTCAGAGATCCACCCACCTCGGCATCAGGACTACTTGGATTAAAGGCATGTGCCACAACCACCAGCACAGGGAACCAATCTCAAACAGTCTAAGAGGGGTCTCTGGGAGCTGAGGGGCCAGGACAGTCATGAAGGGGTGATATATCTGAGCTAAGAATTATGGGATAAACACTGGCTAGCTGCATATGGAGATGAGGAAATCATGTCTAGAGTAGTCTATTTCCAATAACATGGTAGATGTTTCCTGGTTAGTTTAGTTGTCAACTTGATATAACTAAGAAGAGCAAAAGTCATTTGAAGAATTTTCTTTTTCAGATAGCCTATAGGCATATTTGTGGGGGTATTTTATTGATTGTGAATGGATATAGAAAGTCAAAGTCCACTGTGGGTGGTGCCATCCCTATTAAGGTGGGCCTAGGCTGAATAAGAAAGGCAGTTTAACATGAGCCAAGAAGCAAGCCAGTAAGCTCTGTTGTTCTGTGGTTTCTGTTTCAGTTCCTGCCTCCATATTTCTGCCCTGAGTCCCTGCCTTGGTTCCCTCCATGATGGACTGTAGCCTGTGAGCCAAATAAACCTTTTCCTTTTTGCTTTTGATCATAGTGTTTATCATAGTAACACAGCAAGCAAGGTAGAACCAGAGGTTGGGATTAGAATAGAGCTGATGTCTTCTTTAGTGTACTTGAAGCCCTGGGTTCAATCCCTGCTCACCAAATAATGGTGACAATGATGATGAGCATATATTTCAACTGCCATTTTTACCTCAAGGACATCACTGATTCCTTGCCCACATTTTGAACTGAGGTAATTAGGATGGCGTTAAGATCATGCACAAACAACCTGAATTGATGGCTTGTGCCATACACCAGCTCACCCCCCTCTGTCCACACAACAGTCTTGGGTGCAGCTGCTTGCATGTCCTTCCTCTAGATTCCCTTTCACTCATTTGACTGTCAACTCTTCCTTTGGCTTCAGTGCAGAAATGTCTCTGCAAGAACCCCAGTCCTGAATGGCCATTCCCTCCTCAGAGGTTCTGTATCTATCATTTGTCAACACCAGCAGGGTGTACCTCCCAGCAATGCCTCTCTCCTGAGTGACAGGAAAACCTCACTGGCATCAGGGCTTCCCTGTACCTCATACCTATCGGATATGTAAACAGTGCCAGAAGAAGCATTGACACCCTTCTCCGCCCGCACTGCAATACCTCGATCAGCAATTTCAGGGGTCGATTGTAGCAGCGCAGACTCAATTTCCAGTTCTTTGATCGTCCATGACCTCCCAGGATTTCAAACTCAGGGGGTGTGTACCAGTTCCCATCCTCACTCTGTATGGACTTCACGGAGACCCCTGTAAGACCACAGTAGGCTGACCGTGAGCCTGCTTTGTCCCTAGAGCTCAGATTCATGGCCTCCCACCACACTGAGCTGGATCCACCCAAACCGTACTCAAAGTCAATAGCAGAAGAGTCTGGTCTCCTCTCTGGCTTCAGGAGTGCCAGCTCAGCCCTGGAGTCCCCTAAAGGGTTTTCTGAAGCTATGCATATTTCTTTGATTTTCATGCCTGAAGAAAATGACAATCACCACCAACAGACACCTTTTAAAACCACTTCAGGGTCATTAGACAAGGACAAGCTAGTGACTGACTCCACAGGGTGAGTGGATTTCAACCTGATGTCGAGCTCTCGGGCTGGAGAACAACCAGAGTCTCAGGAGGTCCCAGGCAAGGTGGAGGTGGAGTCCTCAGTTTAGAGCTGAAGCTGCAGGTGGTTTCTGCAAACTTGAGAGTTCTGTGACATCATTGTCTACCCAATTTAATGAGACTATTGAACAGAAGTTGCCCATCCCTGCAGTCAGAGGTGAGTACCATTTAAACACAAATGAAATAGTATCCTGTGGAAATAGAGATTATGTTTTAAAAAGCTAGTCATATGTTTGGCATCTTCATTGTTATGAAAATGCAAACAAAATCACAACCAAACCATTTCACATCCCATCAGGATGACAGTAATAATATTAATAATAATAATAATAATAATAATAAACAACTACAAGAAATAACAGCCATTGATACAGGGAAGTTGGAGACCTCCTGCATTGCTGGTGGGAATATAAAACAATGGAGCCACCACCAAACACAGTTGGACCATTTCTTACTGAATTCAACATATAAACACCATGGCCCAGCAATTCCACTTCTGTTTTTGTGACTCAGACTGAGTGTGTGTATCCTACACATGTTGTACTTGAATTCTCAAAACAGTATTAATCATTATATCCTAACATAGAAATAATACAAATTGGTGAACTAATACAGAAAATGTTATATGGCCATAAAATGGAATATTGTATTATTTGGCAATTAAAAATATATATCGCATAAACTAGACAGAATTGGTTTGAAATCATCATGCTGAGTGACAGAAGCAGTCATAAGTGGCACACGTTATAATATGCCATTTGTATGAAATGTGTACAGTAGATTTATAGAGCAGGAATTAGGTGGATGATGCTCAGTAGGGCAAAGTGGGAAACTAACAGACAGAGGGACAAATATGTTCCCATGGTAATTTTTTCTGATGTACCATAAAAGAAAACCAGACGGATCTGTAGACTCTAAGTGCTGAATTGCATGATAAATGAACTATAACTCAGTAAAGCTGTTAAAAATAGTGACAAGGTATATAAAAATAGTTGACAAAATATGTAAACTGTCATCCACAAGCTCATAGTAAGAGAGATCTGAGATGAAGTCCATCATAGTACTTTTGTTTTGCAAACCTTTATGGTGTATGATTGCAGAATATGTTCTACCAACAATATAAATTAGTCCTCATGGATATATTATGGGGCTGGCTTTATATTATGGTCCTCTACTTTAAAAATGAGAAATTTCATGCTCAGAAAGCCCCTCCCCTCTACAGAATGAGACCATCACACTCAGCAAAGCTGAGTCTGGAACTGGGGTTCTCTGATTCTCAATCCTGTGATGGTCTCACCATGGCAAGTGCCTGCCCTGGTGCTGACATCCAGGGATGTTGAGGCAGAGGCTGAAGGTCTCTTTCCATTTATGTCTGACTGGAAGGAAAATATACATTAGTTTCCATCTATGGATGGAAGCTCATGGGCTTCTCGCTTGTTCTCTGGGCATCTCATGGCTACATCTATGTTGTTGTGACCATCTGTTAGGTATGGTTTCTTCAAGTGTGAAAATAACATGTTAGGATCCTTTCCTGTTTTCAAGCCATGCTAACCCCCAATTCCTTAAGTAATCCTGCTATTGCTTGTGGTTTTTTATTTAGCACTTGTAAATTAAAACCGTGAAACTCACCTTGCTTGAATTTATCCTTGCTTAACACTCCCTTCACGTCACCACATGTCACAGGAAGCAGCTCAGTGCTGAAATCTGCATTCTCATATCTGCGCTTTCTTGGAACTGAAAAAGAAGATGTCCTCTTCTGTCTCACTTTGCAGGTGCACGTGCCTCCTCCTCTCTCTTGGGGTCATTTTTTTAACACTCGGGACATTTTGCTCCTCAGATCTCTAGCTTTTAAGTCTTTCTTACAAGTGGCATATTGGATACATAATGACACATATTTTATTGCTAATTTATAAAAACAGAAAGCTTAGTAGAGAAATTTGGCTTTGATTAAACTGTCCTGATTCTCACTCTAGTGACCACCACTGATTGCTACATGACCATCAAACAGGAGATGTCTAGCTGTGCTGTTTTACTAAAGATGGTAGCCAGAGATGCTCCTCCTAATTCCCCATTTGAGCACCGACTGGATGAGCAGAGAGAGGAGATGATGGACAACCTAACAGAGTGGGGTGCGATCATCTCTACTTCCTCTTTTTGTCTGCTCTGCTCCATCTGTCCCTCACAAGAGGTACTGAGAACAGAAACACGAACCCCAAAGCGCCATGCAGATAGGCCGTGGCTTCCGTCAGGCAGTGGCTTCCAATACCGGTTATTTGTGGATGCTTCTTTCTTTATGAGATCAATACAAACATTTAAATTTTAACTTTGTAGAAGAGAGAACTCAGCAAACACAAAATATCAACACCAGGTGGATCATCTCCACAGTCTCCCAGGATATTTAGCAAACGTGTGGAAGAAGGACTAACATCTGAATAAGGGTGGTGAAAAATACAGCCGTGGAAGGAGAGGGAATTTACCAGGGTGCACAGGAAGAGCAGCCCATTCCCACTTATTAGGGAGAATGCAAACACACATTTCTGCTGCCCTGCACTCTGGCTGAGGGAGGGAGGACTCCTCATCTCCTTTGCTATTGACAGGGAAGCGCACTGACCCTGCCTCCTCCACACAGGCCATTAGCAGCATCTGTAGACAAGTGGTCACTGCTGCCCTTTGACTCAGGAACTCCACTCTTGTTTGGTTTAGACCCAAGACAAGTGAAAGTAAGTAACATGCACTATATGGCCACTGTTCTCACAGCTTGCTGGTGACAGTGAACTGTGGTAGTGACCTAAATGTCCATCAAAAGAAGACTGGTTTAAACTCAGGGTAAGGACTGGCAAGATGGCTCAGTTAATGAAGGAGCCAGCAACCAAGGTAGATGACTCCGGTTGGATCCCCAGAAACCACAAGGTAGAAGGAAAGAACCAACTCCTCTACGTTGTCCCCTGACTCCATGACACATTCATGGCTGCACACACATACACACATAAGTAAACATAATAAAAATTATGAACCTCTCAGTTCATATACCAGTCATCTTAGTAGTACCAGGTAGCCAGTAAAAAGAACAAAGCAAATGTACATGCTTTATGGTGAGGACTTCACAAAGGTTCCTACTTTTTAAATACTCTAAGTCTCAAAACACAGAACACTATTATAAAGTGAAAATACACATTATGAAAACAAGCTTTGCAGCCGGGCGGTGGTGGCACACGCCTTTAATCCCAGCACTCGGGAGGCAGAGCCAGGCGGATCTCTGTGAGTTCGAGGCCAGCCTGGGCTACCAAGTGAGTTCCAGGAGAGGTGCAAAGCTACACAGAGAAACCCTGTCTCGAAAAACCAAAAAAAAAAAAAAAAAAAAAAAAGAAAACAAGCTTTGCACAGAAAAGCATAGGAAAAGCTAAAGAGGCTGGAGAGATAGGTCAGTGGTTTAGAGCACTGGCTGTTCATCCCAGGGACTGGAGTTCAGTTCCCAGCACCCATGTCTGGCAGCTCAGGACTACCTGTAATTCCAACTACCTGCAGGGGCTCTGACACCCTCTTCTGGCCTCAGAAGGCACTTGCTCTGATGGTTCTCTCTCTCTCCTACTCTCTCTCCTTCACACACACACACTCGAGCACACACATGCACACATACTAAAAAAATATTTTGTAGAAGAAAAGGAAGATCCAGGTATAGTGGTTTACACCTTTAATCCCACTATTTGGGAGGCAGAGGCAGGTGGATCTCTGTTGTGAGTCCCGGCCAGCCTGGTCTACAGAGCGAGTTTACAGGATAAAAAAGTCAAGAGACCCTGTCTAAAATATGTCAAGGCTGAACCCAAGACGAGGAGCTATGGGAATGTGTGTGGGGAACAGTTAAAGTGGTTTTACTCATTCTGTATTTCCACAAGGTTTAAAAGCTTATAAACCACATTCTATTAAGAAATGGGCCTGACGGTGCAGGCCTGAAACCCCAGTCTCTCAAAAGACCCAGACAACAGGATCCTGTACAGGTTCAAGGCCAGCCTGAGTAACTTAGCAAAACCTTGGTTCTAAAATCTTTAAACTAGAGATATAAAGTCAAGCATATCGAAGGCCCTAGTTTCCACTGCAGTACTGGGACAACTGCACTGCTTCCTTGGCAGTGGCAGGCACACTGACTAACATTATTTCTGAGCAGCACATCTGAGCTACCACTGCTGGAGCACAGAGCTCTACCATTTCCCTGTTAGAGGTATCATTGGCCCAGGACAGACACTGTAGGGAAAATAAACCCACAGCTTGCCCTGGCCTTTGCTATCAAGGGCCTTTTATGTCTTCCTTGGATCAAAACCTGACAGTGAGAGCTCAGACCAGGAATGGCCCCTGGGACAGCTTCCTAGGTGACAAGTCCTTCCAGACAGGTAGGAGACCAGGATGGGGGCGGGGCAGCTGTTTACACTGAGCCTCTGCTATCTGACCTTCTTCCTGAGGTGACTTAGGAAAACAGAGAGAGGCAGAGGGCCTGAGAACACTCCGAGTTCATGAGGTAACTCAGAAGCATGCCACAGAGGTCCCCAGGAGTCCCTGACGGCTGTGACCAGAGTCTCCTTCTGACAGCTGAGCAGTGGTCACAAAGAAAGTTGTGACTGTGTGCATCATGGCAAGCTAGCCTTATATCTCACCCAGGGTTGAAATCTCCAGGTGTTCTCTGTCTGCCCGTCTCTGTCGCTTCCTCTCTGTCCTTCCCCACCCCACACCCCTTGTCTCTCCTCTCCTACTACAGTGCACAGCTTCTTCAGGTCCTAGGGTTGGGACTGACTGAAGCTGCGGCCACTTAATCAACATGAAATCACCCATGTTGTCAGAGGGAAAAGGTAGAGAGGGAGAAAGACACACCTGGTGATGACCCGAGGCTGCCGTCTTCCATCTCCCAACTCCTGCCAGGGGCCTGTGAGGATGAGCTCTGGTCCCTCGGTTTCCTCACAGGCTTCCAGGCTGTCTGTTGGGGCCCACAGCTGAGAGCAGGAAGTCAGCCTGAGTGGTGACTCGCTATGGAGGACTCCGCCCTGATGGGGAAAGAGAAACGAAAGTATTTCTCTAATCTCAAATGTGGTGCTGTTAGATACTGTCCCTTCCTTCTTTCCTGAAATGTGGTGGCAGGGAGGAGGAGAAAGGCAGGGGGGACCTAGTGGATTACCAAGGGGCCCACCAGTGACAAGCAGGGCCAGTTCCTAGGAGTGACCTTCTTTATGCAAAGATGAAAAACAACAACAACAACAACAACACCCTCCACGCAAACCCAAACTGTCCTCAGTTACCCTGTGTCCAGGGTAGTAGAGTTTCCCCGGGGTTGACTGTGATCCCATTCTTTGTCTGGTCCTTGGCTGAAGTGGCTTGGGGGAGAGAGAGATGGGGAAGGAGGGCCAAACACTTCCCAGTTATCTCTCCGACTAGCAGGAGAAGCCAGAGCTGGGTCCTGACCAAGAGATTTCCCTCAGACCCCGAGAGAAGTGGGGATGGAGGGGGAGATCCCCCAACTTGATAGACGCTTTGGTCAGAGCATTAAGTCTGAGGACTTGTCATCCCAGCCGAAAAGTCAAGGGTGAGAGGAAGCTGCCACAGTGGCCACCAGGGCATAAGGACAAAGAACTTGTCCACCCTTCTGAGATGTGGACCTGGACAGAGATGGACAGACAGACATCTCCGGTGAGTCCTAGGAAGCCCCTCAGTGATCATCAGGATACTTCAGGTTCCTCTCTGTTCCTCGTTCTGGAAAGACTTTCTCTGAGGAACTAGGTGGACTGGGGTGAGCCTGCACCCTGTCAGGTCTCTCACAGTCTTCTTCTCTGCACAGACCATGGCTCTGCTCTCATCCCTTAGCTCAAATGCACAGGGACAGGCTGGTGTGGGGCTGGAGTGGGTGTGACTGACAGCGTCAGCCTGAGGCCAGGCCTGGGGTAGATTTCAGGGCTCCTTCCATTGTCTCCCATGTTAGCCACGTCTCCAACTTTTCTTCTTTTTTTTTTGGTTTTTCGAGACAGGGTTTCTCTGTGTAGCTTTGCGCCTTTTCCTGGAACTCACTTGGTAGCCCAGGCTGGCCTCAAACTCACAGAGATCCGCCTGGCTCTGCCTCCCGAGTGCTGGTATTAAAGGTGTGCGCCACTGTGGGCCGTGGCCCCCCACTGTGAGTGGCTGCCGCCCTGCTTGCGGACCTTGACCAGATGTCCTCCCTATTCAGATTCCCTGCTGGTTTCCTTCTCACCTAACTGATCAATCGGAGGTTCTTTGTTCCTGTATCCTGCATTTGGTGTAAACAGCTTAGATGCAAAAATGTAGCAAACTCTTCCCTCCAGGGATCCGCCATTGTGCTGTAAGCCTGTATTTAAGGTTTCCTCCCTCTTTCAATTCGGCTGGCACTCGGCATTCAGCCGTGGCGAATGACTCGCTGTCTCTTGTCCCTTAGTTTTTAATCCACAGCCCCTTGCTCGGACATGGTGAACGGGTGGTGGTAGCGCGGGCGTTATCCCTACAAATGGAGGTTCCTACCGAGATCCGAGAAAGAAGGGACAAGCTGATGGACACCCGAAAGGTAAGGCTGGCCAGCAATTTAAAAAAAAAAAAGAAAAGATGAGGGTGAATTGAAATGGGTGCAGCTAGCTCACAGTCAGTTGATTGGACTGCTGAAGCAGGAAGGCACCGAAGTTAAGATAGGGCAAGACAGCTAAAGATTTTAAATAAAAAAGGAAATCTTCCCAAAAGAGAAGAGGGAAGGAAAGGAAATTTCCCGTTAGAAAAGGGAGAAAAAAATTTTAATCAAGAAAAAAGGATTTTCCTGGTAAAAAGGGGAAAAATTTTTGGAACTAGGCCTAAAGATTAGGGCCCTGTAGAGGAAGGATGGAGGAAAGAGAAAAGCCTCTTCCCAGTGGTAATGGAGAAAGAAAAGACTTTTTCCAATTGTAGAATTTTCAGGATAGCTGAAACTCTGAGCTCTTTCTGCAGTGCAGCATCTGAATTACAAAGAATCGACAGGTAGGCCTCATTGCTGCTGGCTGAACAGCAAGCGAGCCCAGAGGTTAGAAGTTTGGCTGTCTGTTTGCTTATTTTGGTTCAAATGTTTTTTAATTTTCCCTCAGAACGGGAATAATTCAATATTTAGGATCCCTTCATGGGAAATGTTTTTCTGTTTTTCCCTTATGGAGGGAATAACTCATTAGGTAGTCCCTTCATGGGAGTAGGAAGTTTAAACGTGAGTTTGTATGTGTTTGTATGTAGTTTGTATGTAGGAAAAATGTTACAAGGAGACCCACTCCCTGTGGCAGACAAAAACTGTGTCACTAGAGGTCCTGGGGATACAAGAGGATTAGGGTCTTTTCCACAGGGGTCACTGCGCAGCAGCCTTCGATTATACAACCAATAAAAATCACTTGGAAAAGTGATGGCCCTGTATGGGTGGAACAGTGGCCTTACTAAAGAAAAATTGGAGGCTGCAAACACATTAGTTAAGGAACAGTTAGATGCTGGACATATCATTCCTTCCACTTCGCCTTGGAACTCACCTATATTTGTTATTAAAAAGAAGGCAGGAAAATGGAGGCTATTACAGGATCTTAGAGCTGTAAATAAAACCATGCTTCTCATGGGAGCAACACAGCCTGGCTTGCTTGCCCCTGTGACAATTCCTAAACATTAGCATTTAATTGTGGTTGACTTGAGGGATTGTTTCTTCACCATTCCTTTGCATTCGAGGACAGTCCTCGCTTTTCTTTTAGTGTTCCTTCAGAAAATCTTAGAGAACCTTATCAGAGATATCAGTGGGTGGTATTGCCTCAAGGAATGGCCAATAGCCCTACTACTATATGTCAAATTTATGTGTCTTTGGCCCTAGCTCCAGTTCGAAAAGCTTTTCCAGATGTTTATATAATTCACTACATGGATGATATATTAATGGCTGCTAAAGATAAAAAACTTGTTTTTGATGTCTTTTCTAATTTACAAGAGGTTCTTAGCCTGGCTAATTTACAGATTGCCCCAGAAAAGGTACAGGTATCTTTTCCCTATCATTATTTAGGTCATGAATATTTTAGTTTTTCTCATTCACCTACTGGAGTGTTTTGGCAAACAGGTCCTATTCTATGGGTACATTCCCCAGCTTCTCCAGCGAAAACCATCACTCCTTATCCACAGGTTATATTTAAGGGAATCAAGATCAGTGTTCAAACTTTTGGTAAGGAGCCAGATATTGTGGTGACCCCATACACCCAGTCTCAAATAGCATGGTTGCAAGCTAATGATAATGATTGGACCATATTGACATGCTCCATGCAGGGTCGGTTTGATACTCACTACCCCTCCAATGATGTGTGTCATTTTTTTAATTGCATCCTGTTATATTTCCCAAGATAGTACAGATGACTCCTATTCCTCAGGCCCATGTAGTATTTACTGATGGCACTTCACGTGGTTTTGCTGTGGTGGTTTCTGGTAACATAGTAAAGAGAATGAAAGTCCAGGGCACTTCTGCCCAGATGGCAGAGGTACAGGCGCTGTTGCTTGCTTTACAGATGTTTTCTGATGAGAGTGTAAATATTTATACTGATAGTCAATATGTGGCACATGCCATTATGCCTTTAGAGACAACAGCCTACATACCATCCATTTCTCCCATTCATGAATATTTATTGCAAGTGCAAGGACTTATATGGTCCCGCTCACATAACTTTTATGTGGGCCATATTAGAGCTCACACTCAATTGCCTGGACCTCTAAGTGAAGGTAATCAGAGGGCTGACGCCATTACTCGTATGGTTGTTACATTAGTTTGTTCTGCTTTGATAAGGCTACTCAGTTGCATCAATGTTATCATAATGCTGGATCTCTTCGTCATCATACAGGCATAACCCGGGAACAAGCCATCCAGAGAGTTAAATCATGTCCGATTTGTGTTGAATTTTTACCTGTTCCTCATTTGGGAGTTAATCCCCGAGGACTTTTACCTAATCATGTGTGGCAGATGGATGTCACACACACACACACATACACACACACACACACACACACACACACACACACACACACACACACGTGCCTTCCTTTGGAAAATTACAATATGTCCATGTGTCTATTGATACATATTCTTTAACTTTTGCTTCTGCCCATTCAGAGGAAAAGGTTAAGGATGTAAAGAATCATTGCCTTCATGCTTTTGCTTACATGGGAGTGCCAAAATGCATAAAGACTGATAATGGTCCCGCCTACAGCAGTACGGGATTTTCAAAATTCTGCCAAGACTTTTCTATTGTTAATAAGACTGGTATTCCTTATAACCCTCAAGGACAGGCTATAGTAGAATGCTGCCATCGTACCTTAAAAACATATATTTCTAAAGTAAAAAGGGGGGAGCTAGGGGCTCATCTCTCCTCTCCATATTCTATTCTTTCCCTTGTTTTATATACTGTAAATTTTTTATCAGTGGACTCTACTGGAGTATCTGCTGCAGATAAGCACTGGAGGGCTCCTGTTACAAATCATCCTCTGGTGTGATGGAAGGATCTTTCTATTGGCACTTGGAGGGGACCCGATCCGGTGTTGGTGTGGGCCCGGGGATCTGTTTGTGTCTTTCCACAGGACAATGAAGTTCCACTTTGGGTTCCTGAGCGTTGCATGCGCCCTGTGGCTGCTGCTGAATCCCGACATGGCAGAGACCTATTGGGCCTTCATAAAAAACTCTCCCCTTCTGATGCCAATGGGGATTGAGAGTCCTATACGGCCAGCCTTGGCAAGCATTCACGTAAGCCTAGGAACTGTAGCCATGTGGTTGGATTCTTCAGAAGGTAATGTATGGTAACTTTTTCCAAAAATGTTGAGAATGTGTCACACCTTGGAGATTAAGGATAACTCTGAAGGTCACTGACCTCTATTTGTTAACAGTAACATGCCAGCTAAGCCTTTTCACATTTTGCAACCCTCTTCAAGTTGGTGTAGTACCTACTTTTCAGGAATGGCTCTGTGCAACAT